ACGAGCTGCTCAAGGGTGCGTTCCAAAATTCACTCCGAGTAACTCTAAAGAACCCGGAGTAGTGGCGGAAAGAGTAAGTCAGAGTACGTTACTCGAGTTGACAAATTTGGAACGTGAAAAGGTAAAGTAATATTATATATACATATAATATTATATTTAATATTTTATTTAGAAAGAGATAAACTCAGATAAACTATATATGTATGTACATGCATACATCCTACTTTTGGAACGAATAGACTCCGCCCATATGGTCAGTTACCTCGCGTTTTGGAACGGCGTAGAGTCTGTTACTCGGAGTGAATTTTGGAACGCACCCCAAACAGGCTGTTTCAGCGACAAAAGGATCACGTGGTCAAAATTGACGAATATCAAGCTTCCATTTTGATCACGTGATCCTTTTTGACACTGAAACAGCCGGTTTGAGCAGCTCGTGAACATTTACCTTAATATAGGACCAGCCTCAGGGTGATATTTCATTTGTGCGTTTTTATCGTACGACAAATTTTTCAAGCCTGTTGATTGGCTGTAGAATAGAGAGATCCCCGAGGATCTCTTCTTTGAACTCTTACTCCGGATCTACAATAGGGTCTTAAGCCTTAAGCCATAAGAAGTGGGCGAATCACAGTCGACTGTTCCCCTCGAATTTGACTGTAATTGGCCAATTTCTTACGACTTAAGGCTTAAAACACCTATTGTAGATCCGGGGTTAGGGCGGAATCCCTAACATAAATGTTGCTCAAGATTCAAGATGGTCTTAAGCCAGTGCATGAACCAATCAGAGAGCCGTATTAGCATCTTAAGACATCGGCTACGTTTACACCGTGTATTTAGGCCGCGGCCTAAATACAATAGACGTCCTTGTTTATCCTGTATATTAAACAAAGACATCTATTGTATGTATAGGTCGCGGACTAAGCGCACGGTGTAAACGTAGCCATTGCTTTATATCATTTTCGATTGGGGTGCACTGACTGCACTCAGTGTCAAGAGCGTGTTCGATTGGCAGTGCCAATGCGCACTTGGCGCGTATGTCACGTATCCATTTGACGGTGCCAGTTCAGTGCACTGAATACATACAGGGTCATCGAAAAGTATCGGACCCCCCTAATATCTTCAGTTAGAATGCATTTTGGAGAAAATGTCCAATAGCAAAGTTGTATGGTTTCAAGCGAGGAGTAAGATGATGACCTTGACTTTGATCTTGACCATGTCCTTTAAGGTCATTTCAAGGTCAACCTTATTTTTTTAAATGGAACCCCCTACATTTTATTGCATATTTTTATAGCTTATCTCGAGAGCTTTCCAAAACACTATAATAAAACATTTTTTCATTAAGTACTTTTTGAGTTATAAAGGTTTGAAGTTAACAATTTTTTGACACAAAATGTAAATCTTGTAAAATATTATTTAGTTTTCAGTATAATCATAACCTTAATACTTTTGTGAGCGGAATAATGAGACCAATTAATTGGTTTAAAGAAAATATATTAATCAAAAAGTGTCGGATCCCCCTAATATTTTCAGTAAGTTACTTAACAAATTGTTAACTTCAAACCTTTATAACTCAAAAAGTACTTAATGAAAAAATGTTTTATTATAGTGTTTTGGAAAGCTCTCGAGATAAGCTATAAAAATATGCAATAAAATGTAGGGGGTTCCATTTAAAAAAATAAGGTTGACCTTGAAATGACCTTAAAGGACATGGTCAAGATCAAAGTCAAGGTCATCATCTTACTCCTCGCTTGAAACCATACAACTTTGCTATTGGACATTTTCTCCAAAATGCATTCTAACTGAAGATATTAGGGGGGTCCGATACTTTTCGATGACCCTGTATATAGGATATCAGTGCATCATTTTGTCACAGTATAAAAGAATATACAGTAGGGACAAGCAAATCTGTAATTTATAGCATGCAAATGTGTACAATTATTGATAGATATGTACATATATGATATTCTTGATATCTTATATATTATTTAATTACATATAGAGTAAAAAATTTTTTATTACTTAAAGTTATGAATATGAGATGTCCAAGTTATTTTTCTGCGTTCTTTCTGCATTTTAATCAAGTCCTTACAATCTTACAACTCGAAATGGCATTTCAGCTTTAGCACTGAAAATCTTGGCGTGTCCTTTTGAACTTGCACTATTCAGTGCAACCCATGGAACTCGTCCAGTGTTGGTGTGAACTGAGTGCGCACTGGTGCGCACTAATTTTTTCCCAATCGAAAACGCTATTAGATTAAAACCAGACTATGGATTCCGGCCTTTAATTCTGACTGGTTAATTCTTATGCGCCGTCCACAATGAACAGTAGCAGTAGAGACTGTAAACGTGTCGGGGTCGGGAGTAAGCTGGTTTTCCAGCTAAGCCATTAATGGTTAGTCGATGAACGTCAAATCGATGTTGATTCAACGTCGCCCGACGTCAAATCGATGTTAATTCAATGTCGATTAACGTTAATTCTATATTGATCGATCATTCACTTGTAGCTAGGGATGTAACAGAGCGTAGAGTAAGTCCGTAAGCGAAATGGTTGAAATCCATACGCCACAAGGTGTTCCCTATCGATCCCGAACTTTTTATTAACGTTATCGTATTCAGGAGGTCAAAATTGTAATCTGTAAAAAACGCTATTCCTTTTATAATACTTACATCTTAGTGAGCAAAACTCAACCTCTTTTTAACATCCTCCTTTCGCAGATCAAACGATCTTGACGAGACTGTATTATTTTTTAAGTTTGTGTGATTGCTAGGGAAGAATTGCATATATTTAATTTATTTATCTCTTGTAGCACAGCAGCATCTGCAAAACGCTCAGAAAGCGCTAATTCAGGAGGATTGCATCTGCATAAGCGCTTTCTGAATGTTTTGCCGATTCTACTGTGCTACATGGAATGATTTCATATTTTATGTATACATATAGTATACGTATTTATCAAGATCAAAGTCATTGGAGATCGTACCTGTTATTTTCATTTTTGCACTAAGAATTCATTTTTACGTAAAAATGAAAATAAGAGGTACAACCTCCAATGACTTTGATCTTGACGAATGTTATCCAGGACATGATCCTGAACAACATTCAAGAGATTTTAGCCGTCGATCGGACACCCTGCGTAATGCTAATACCAGCGGTACTGTAACTTTCAAGCCTTGTAACTCGAAAAGTACTTAATAAAAAATAACTTTATTATAGTGTTTTAGAAAGCTCGATCTTGACACCAGCGAAGTGAGCGAAGATTATAAATTATAATAACGTAGAAACGCGGACTCAAGAAGTTGCGCAAAAGCTGTCCTCGCCCGATAAACGGAACGCTCAAGGATGACTCGGAAAATATTGAATATAAGCGCGACCGCGGACGCGATCATCGGTCAGAAAATTGAACGAAACACGTCGCGTTACTCTGCTCGTCGTCTCGCCGAAACTCTAAGAGTACATACCGCGAAGTGAATAGTGCTAAATGGATTTGTGAAGAGTAATAAAACCACTTGTGAATAGTGTATAATTGGTTCTAAATATATTTCTACGTTAAAAAACACAATGAACAATTATTTGCTCCCTTCTTCGAAGTCCTTGTGGATTCTCGAACCGTGCCGTGGTAGTAGCGGCACAACAGAAGAAAGGTAGAAATGTAAACAAACAAAAAAAGTTTTCACTTGAAAACGAAATTATTATTCTTGTTTTCGTGCACGATTTCAGCGACAATAATATTTCAGAGGCAGTGCAGGAACGAAACAACTACGTTTTACCTTTTTTTACGATTTTCTCTGAAACGAAACAAAAACGGGCATGTCTCTACAGGAGATATTTTTTTTCTTAGTTCATCGATCCTCTACACGCTCCCAAAGTTTAGACATTAAATTCATACCACCCTGTATATAGGCGCATGCCGGGAGGAGAGATTTCGTCTTTCACTCTTCGCCATGCGGTAAAGTTATCTCTCGGTATAGAGGTATCTCTCGGATACCGGAATAATCACGCGATAAAATCGGAGTACTGGTGCACAGAGCAAGATTTTCGGAGCATTCAGAGCTCAGAATGGTCCGTCAGAGCACGGCTTCGCGTACGTGATAAATCTGTTTAAATTCCAAAGTAACTGGCGAAGGGAGAAAGAACGTAATGCTATAAGTCTTCTGTTATAAATCGCATTCGAAATTATTCGCTGAATATCCGTTGGTTCGATTCTTGTATAAAAAATTATAAAATAGTGCTCAATGATCTCATCGAGAGACGATCATTGTGTGTGTGTGTGTGTAGAAACTTTATTTCCTCCATTTTTCCATCCAGACACTAGGATATTCTTACACTGGGTTTCCTCTATTTCCGGATTGTCTTAGAATTATCTTACAACTTTAATTAATAATTTATTTCTTTTAAGGTTATGATTTTATTGTGTGATAAAGAATATAATATAAAAGGGTTAAATTATTTATTAACACTGAAAACATGTGAATTTGCTACATTTATGTCACTAAGATGTGTCGAGCAAAACACTTTGTGTCAGCTACTATGGGGGATAAAAGGGAACCCATTGGGAATCCAAAAGATTATTTATGAAACTTGTCGTTAAGCATAAAAAAGGCTTAATTCGCTTTTATTTAAATATCTTTACACAATATTGAATTTTTTCGGAAATTTAAGTTGTGCAAGATAATGATGTCATATCGGCTTATATCTGAGAGGCGTTTTATTTTCATTTTACAGTCACACATACTATCGCAGTTTCATCCAAATGTAAATGGTCCAACGTAATCATGGGAATCATATCATCAAAAATAATAAAAAATTATCTTCTTTAATTCGCTCATTTTTAGTTGCTCTTTACAATCAACATAAACTGCTCTCTCTCTCTCTCTCTCTCTCCCCCCCC